ACTGTCCCTTAGTACTATTTTTTTTGCTTCAAAACACACTGGGCTCCATAGTTCTGCCTGTCTTGATGGATACAGGACCTCATGGCACAATTTTTTGCGGATCCACCCCTGCCGATTGAGACTGGCTCAGTATTGAGTAGCATTGCTATATACACATTAATATTTGCAGACATGCATGTGATAGAGGACACAGATGAAATCTTTGTATCCATGAAATTCTTGTCCATCAGGAATCATCTGAAATTTGCCAGCACACAGGAAACCCAAAACAATATTTCCTAATAAGGAACGCAGATAGTGAGGAACGCCTGGTTATTTTCGACAGTTTAATCCATTCAAAAAGCGGTTCTCAAATTTTATTGTGTAAAATTTGACAGATTTATCAAGTCTAACGAATAAATGTTGGTATAAATGATAACTAAAGTTTCAAGGTCAGGTGTTTTGATTGTTTGATCGTTTTAAGGTAAGTTAAACCGTACAGAATTTCAACAAAATTGAACAGCTTGTTCGTCTTGAACATAAGAGATTGAACTTTGGCATTTTTCTGTTCGAATTCGAATTTTTCTGTTCGAGTTCCCATTCTAAATCCTTTGTATTGGGTGATTGAACTATCCTCAATGTAGATAGTCGATAACAGACATAAAAGGAAGCCAATAAGAATCGAGTGATTTGAAATTGATGGTGAGGTGTGCTCGGTGTTTGATTTTCGATCCGTCTCTGTCTCGGGATTATTCTTCTAGTCCCTTCACTTCAGAATTGGAACTACGATACTTTGAATAGACAATAAAACCATGCATAGCGCGGCTTAGCTTCACACAAGGCTTTGTATTGATTCAATAGGGCAGTCTTGGGTGATTTGTATGGTGGCTGTGCAATAGCATGGCAACACTACTCTGCTCTTGACCATAGTTAATATAATATGTGTTGACAAATGGGTTACATGTATATTTGAGTAATATTCTGGTATCACTTATCATTCTGTCAACGTGACTATATAAGCTTTTATGTTTATTTACAGATTGACAAGCCTTCTCACTTCTTCAATAATGTACAAGGAATTCT